TTCCGTCAGATCTGCCGACGCGTCACGTCAACAGGAGAGCTCAACGACGCTGACAACTTGATCAACTACCCCATCCAACTGACTGTGTCTGGACGGAACCAATCAGCCACCACCAGCCCCAGAACGGATCCGACCAACCGACCGTGTCTGCACGACATCAAACCACCGACCAGCCGCGTCTCAGTACAGTGCCCAAAACGCGGCCGTGCAGCTGCATTGCAGTGCAAAGCCGACAGATTGGTCTGGATGATACAGGCAGATTGGTCTGGATGATACAGGCAGATTGGTCTGGATGATACAGGCTTCTAGAGGAAAGAAAACCTTACCGTCACACATGGAGTGTGTGTGTCGGCTTGACTGGAGGTTCTTAGCTTGAAGGCCCAACTCAGCATGGCAAAGCGCACGGGGGTGCACCGAAATCGGACGTCAGAAACGGAGGGACGCTGACTACCCACGCCTAAGAGGGCACCGGCGGGCAGGAGCACAGAGGTACCGCAGAAGCCGGAAAGCCGGAGGAGCCACGGAAGCCTGACGAGCCAGGTAAAACCGAAGGGCGTTCAGGAGAAGTCAGGGGAGCCGGGCGAAAGTCAGGAGGCGCCGGCACGAGCCGGCACGGCAGAGCGGGCTCAGCATCGCCAGAAGAGCTAAGCAGACAGGCCAGCGGCTCTGGCTCAGCGCCGCCGGCCGCTCGGCTGGCGTGAGCAGGCTGGCCGCAGAGTGGCCCTCATCTGGTGCGGGCTGGCCGGCTGGCCAGCGCCCGGTCACGGCACCACGTCCGGCTGGGGGCCGACCCCCGCCCTCCCTGCCCCCACGTGCCACAGGCGAGCCGGGACGGCGCCGATACAAGGGCTGCACACGGCGCCGGCGCGCCCACCAGCTCCCCGGTCACGCGTTCCAAAACAGCGCCGGGCGCGTCCAAACGCCGGCGGAGAGCGGCCGTTCGTGCCCGGCATGAGATCGGCAATGGCACGGAAACGATCCGAAAATGGCGCGGCGCGGCGCCGCCCGCCATCCGTACTACCAATGGCGTCGCGCTGGTGTGGGCCTTGACCCAATCCTTTCCGGCGAGGCGCCATTGATTCGCGCGACACGCGGCAGCGGACTGGAGTCTGCGTGTGAGGAAACAACCGGCGCCGCACTCTTCGTACCGCGCTACTACGCCAAGGTCGACGGTCAGAGCCCATGTGATGATACGACTCGGCCGGCGACGGGGTGGTGACACGGGCCGGTGATGCAAGGCGGCTGAAGGCCGGGACACAATCGATCACAGCCTGTGCCGGGCACCCCATTGAGTCCTGCGGCCGGGTCAGCTGGAATGTGGCCCGTCGCGGGGTCCACTCCGGCGCGCTGGCCTTCCGTCGACATTGTGAGCGAACGCCAGGCCGCCGCCGCCGCCGCCGCCAGCCGCCGCAGAATGGCCCGGGTGTGTTCCGGCCGTCGCGCGAACGCTGAACGGTACGACGGCGTGAACTGCGGCGCTCACAGCTGCATGGTGCTGGGTTTCCGATGTGTTTCATCAATTGTGCGGAGCTACGGACACGCCCAGCGTTATTGTTCTATTTCACGTAGCTGCTGCGTCTTCCCAGCGTTCCACGGGCGGTGTCTGGCCGTGAGATCTGCCTGATCAACGCGCACAGACCATCAATAAGAATACATGGTGAAACCACCGCCCAAAAACAAACAACCATGACGTCAATGAGCGCCGAGCCAGCGGTGCGTTATGTAAGCCGAGAGCACATTCCTGCTACGATGAGCAGCAATGGACGATTTTCGCCATTTTGATCCGCTGACACAGCAACGTGCCTCCACACCCAAATGTGCCTCAATTCCCAAACGCTGGCATTACTGTCCTTTCTTGCACTGCCCTGTTGCGAAATAGCTGACGGTTCTTTTGAAAGGACACACTCGACGAGCGAGCCCACTTTTTCTTATCGTCCCAACTGCATCGGACAGCACCCAACCGACTCAAGAGTTCCTCGCCGAGTTCGTCCAACCCCGCTCAAACCCAGGAGCTCTGCGAGATGTCTGGCGTGGGGGGTCTAGTTCGCGTAGACCAGTTGAGGGCATTGGCCGGCCGCCCCTGTCCGTCAGTGTCGGCCGTCCCAGCTCATCGCCGCGAGGGCTGCGGTTAGCTTTCCCTGCCCCTTCCGGTGATTCGACTCCGCAGCGTCGGATCAGAGGTAAGATTCACAGAAGTTTACCCCATGACGCGCGCTTAAATGATGCTTATCTGTGCAGGACTTCACGGAACCTTGGTAGGAAGTCGCCGCATGCATTATCTCGGAGGATTGTGCATCTCTTCCAAATCGTCTCCATATTTTTACAGACGGCGTAAGACTCAGCGACATGATTGAGTCCCGAGGTAATGAACGGAATTAGGTCTCACGAATCGTTGTTGTTGACATCGGGCGTGTGAAATCAGTGCCTTCAAAAACGGAATCCTTTTTCACGTTAGGTGGTTTCTATTTGCATTATATTAAATGTGTACCGCTTTGGCATTAACGGCAGCTCAATGAGACGCAGTTACTATCAGGTAGTATTCCACTGTGACGACGTTTTCGTACGAGGCGCTGCGGCGGATACAAATGTTGCTATTCCATGCATTCATAATTTGCGAGGTTAACATGCACTTTTTTACATTCATGATACAGTCCTTGCCCTAGGGAAAGTCACGTCTGCCCAGTTTTTGGTATGTTCAATCTCTTTTAGTACGACTAAATTTCACAAAAGCACCGAGGGCATTTCACCGAACCGAAAAGCTCATGGTGTCTCCACGTGCGCACCAAAAGGTCAAGTCCAGCCGGCAAAAGGAAACGCGATTTTGGAATTTCTGGTATCAATGTCACGACTTGCAGGCTGCACCTAGTCTTATCTCTGCCGGGCGTCGTCATTTCCAGGCATGGAGATCCATTCTTCGCCGTACACGAAAACAAACCGTTTGCGACGCGTCCGAGTTCCACGAGGCACTAATCCGATTTCTCTTTTCAAACGAGTCAACGCCACGACCTCAACACCTCATCGCCAGATTGATGTGAATGGTGATACCTTTTTTGGCGTGGTGCTGTCATAAATCCGCCACGAATCCCTGCACAGGACGACCTTGAGGTTGCAGGTTCTCGAGGATTAATGCATTACATCCGCCAAAGCTAGGATCCGCAACCGAATTGTGAGAAACGAAATGTTTTCCCTTCGAGGTGTTTGCTCCCAGGCCAAGCCCACCAAATCCTATCACAGGAATCTCGTATTCCCTTTCTGGGCAAACGCCCACCGAATGATAATCAGGCCGTGGAACCCGAAGAACTCACTCATCGCCCATGTCCTCTAGATTCTCGGCAGAGTTGACGACGACGAGGCGAAAAAACACATTTTTTACCAAATATTTATAGGAAGGAACGTCTGCGTGCCTCTTGTCACGCACTTGCACAATCCGCACCACCTACCCGGCCCCTCCATTCCCCTCCACCCCACCTGCCGCGCACTCTTCTTCACCTTCCGCCTCTCCTTCTCCCGTCCTTTAAAGATCCCCGCACCGAAGGCCAGACCGCCACGGTACCGGAGCGCCGTGCGGGGGGAGGCCTTCGTCCTGCGACAGCCGACCGTCGGTTCCGGACGCCCTGCCGGGGCCCGAGCCCGGCCGGCGGCCGTCTGGCCTTCAAGCGCCGCTTTCACGCCGGATCGCGCGTCGCCCGGCCACCGCATCGCGTGAGTGACTGAGACAAAGATCGCTCGCCACCCCCCCATCCCCCCATCCCCCCAACCCTGGTCCCGACTCCGAGCCAATTTGACCCGCTTCGGAGAAGAATGCGCTTAATGACACTGCGGTGCGGTGTGGCGCGGCACGAACTCGTCCGGTGGCTCCCGGGCCCCCGCTGGGCCCGGCGCTCCGCCAAACAGACCAGCTGCCTGCGGACCCGCTGCCACCTGTCGGTGATGCTTCACATCCTAGCTTCCAAGCTTTGTCACAATGAGCAACAGCCAGCCTGGCTGGGTTCGGTTTAGATCTAATATTTTATCCTTCATCAAGGTGGATTCGATATTGCCAATCATTGTAAGATGCCTTCTTTGAAAGGAATTTGTCAGATTCAGCATCGAGCTAGGTTATCACAATGGATGAAAGCACCCATGATTGAAATGATATGACAGACTACAGGCTGGTCAGAAAGAACAGTAGTCTGATCGCGTATGGTAAAGTTCACACATCTCTTACGCTCCATTCAATGTGTTTATTAAAATGGCCCATTAATGCCTTTGTATGCCTTGCATGGTCTGCTCTCAATTCATATGACCTGTGATAAGCACTGGTCAATTTAAATACATTATGGTGGCCATTCGGCGGGTTGAGGGAACCGGAGCGGAGGCTATCCCCAAATGTGCACAGTCTTCTGGTTCAAAGGTCGGATTCGTGCTTAACGTGTCTGAGTCGGTTAATTTTGCCATGCCCCACCAGTATCAGTGTAACAGAGTTTGCATGGGCCTTGTGCTACTTATGCAGCACTTAAATGACCACGTGAATGTCAATGAAATGACTTCAAGACCATGTTAATGACATCTTTATAGATTCAAGAGAGTGGCTGAAGCCTTCAGTCCATCTAACTTTAACCGTTTACGGTGTAGTGTTGTGTTTAGTCTGGAAACCAACACGAGGTCTGGATGCCAACAAATGAACGTTACCCACAGGTGGCAGCACTAGCCCATAATTTTCTCACTAGGCGGCGACTGCGGAATTTGTAGCCTTATCCTTTAGCATCGACTTGCAACAGATTTTGGTCAATGTAAACGGCTCTGATCACTTTTTACACCGGCTCAACAGCGCTCGAATGTGTCAATTCTGCATCGATCCACCCATTCCGATCAGGGTCAGTTTAAATAGGTCGTCAACCCACGCTAGACGGCAGCACTAGTCCTCCCGCCTGAACAGATGGCGCTGGCCTGCAGGCGCGCCATGCGCTCTCTCCCCTCCATCGGCCCGGCCGGCTGCGGCGGCACCCCGGGCGACTGACCTGTGTCCAGCAGGCCGTCCGGCTCCAGCCGCTCCTGCTTCACGTGCTGCCCAGCGGTGCCGGCTACGCGCGTGGTGGTCAGCGTCGGGTACTGCTGCTCGGCGGCGAACGAGGCTGGCGGCGCCAGGCCGGCCGCGCAGGGGCTGGCGGGGCTGCGCGGCCCCGGCGACTCCAGCAGACCTGGTGCGGGGGAGGGCGATCAGCACGTCACAGCACAGCATTGCTTTTCAAAATGGCGGCAGGTCGCTGTGAAGATGGCCTACTGCGGGGCGTGTTTTGTGTGGGTTGTGGACGGAAGGAGGTATGTGACTAGTTTGTGTAGCAGTTGTATGTAGGATAACGTTGGTACGCCCTAATTTTGTCAGAACTAATCTCTTGGTGCATTAGTTTCGTAACGTCAAAACTTTGTCACGCAAAAAGATCGCATAGGGTAAAGTTCATACAATACATTTTCGTTGGTTAAAAATTCGTAACAAAGATGTTCCTAGGCAAGCACAAGAGCTCTGATCCAAAAATTTCGCGTGCAAATGTTCGCCGGTGATAAACTCCATACGAAATAAGTGTGCGCGTAAAGATAGGATATGTAACGCAAGTTCCAATACAGATTCGCATCCTTAACGCGGGACCCAGGATGAATGATCACAGCGGGAGTCACCACAGCCTTTCAACCGGACACGGTGAGGGGTAAAGACGACGGTGGGAGCGTCACCACAGCCTTTCAACCGGACACGGTGAGGGGTACAAGACGACGGTGGGAGCGTCACCACAGCCTCTCAACCGGATACGGTGAGGGGTACAAGATGACGGTGGGAGCGTCACACCAGCCTCTCAACTGGGCACGGTGAGGGGTACAAGATGACGGTGGGAGCGTCACACCAGCCTCTCAACCGGATACGGTGAGGGGTACAAGATGACGGTGGGAGCGTCACACCAGCCTCTCAACTGGGCACGGTGAGGGGTACAAGACGACGGTGGGAGCGTCACACCAGCCTCTCAACCGGGCACGGTGAGGGGTACAAGATGACGGTGGGAGCGTCACACCAGCCTCTCAACTGGGCACGGTGAGGGGTACAAGATGACGGTGGGAGCGTCACACCAGCCTCTCAACCGGGCACGATGAGGGCTACAAGATGACGGTGGGAGCGTCACCACAGCCTCTCAACCGGGCACGGTGCGGGGTACAAGATGACGGTGGAAACGACAATCGCACAGACCGGGTCAAATATAATTGCTACAAAACTCCTCATGCTATTGACTTAAACGTCGTTCGACGCTAGCGAATGAACCTGAATAAATGGCAATAGTGCAAAATTGCCATCGGGTGAAAGGGGTGAAGGTTTTAAAGAAGAGACATGTCTGTACCGCCCATAACCAGCCGTGTTTTTAGTGTTCCTCTTTATCCCCGACCCTGATGGTGCCTCTGTTTAGTGTTCCTCTTTATCCCCGACCCTGATGGTGCCTCTGTTTAGTGTTCCTCTTTATCCCCGACCCTGATGGTGCCTCTGTTTAGTGTTCCTCTTTATCCCCGACCTTGGTGGTGCCTCTGTTTAGTGTTCCTCTTTATCCCCGACCCTGGTGGTGCCTCTGTTTAGTGTTCCTCTTTATCCCCGACCTTGGTGGTGCCTCTGTTTAGTGTTCCTCTTTATCCCCGACCCTGATGGTGCCTCTGTCGACGCCTCCTGAGCACGCCACTGACGCCAGCTGACGGTCGTGATCAGGGGGATCGTTTGTGGAACACGACGGCGGTCGCGTGTGGGCCGCCCCTGGTATGCGATCAAATTTACCAGGTAAACGAGAGTCCAGGGAGAAGGACACCCACCCTGCACCCGCTTTGATGCACCCGCTTCGATGCACCCGCTTTGATGCATCCACTTGGATTACGACCTTGTTTGCATATCACCCAACATTGCCCAAGCCTAAAAGTTAAAAATTACCGAAGTTTTTCTGTCATACAAACTGTAAATCTTGTATACATTTGCTTCCGAGCAATTGCATAACTTCTATATGCATATACACTTCTTCCATATGAATTTTTCTGCTGAAGCGGTTTTGTGTCGACAGCAATGTCCTATGCCTTCAGTGATTTCAGATTTCGTGACAGCAAAACAGGCTTAAAAAACGCAGGGAATATCGGGCACAAATGCCATGTGATGTTGGTGCACTCGAGATAGAATTATCAAGCCTAGAATTATCATCATTAAGGTTATACCGTTGTGTGCTACTCGGACTAAGCAAAAATGCACGTGTTTGATGGTGAGGTGTCCATCCGAGAACATTGAAGGCTAGCGCCACCTATCAAGAATGATACGAAGCTCATGCTGCCATCTCCACACCGCTAAGTTACCAGTATCAACTCTCGGTACTCCATCGGAAGGTAGTTTGGCAGTCGTGACGGAAGATTTGACATTACATGCACGAATGCGCACCTCACTCATAACTCTCAAACAACAAGACTTCCCAAAAACAGCGACCAGGGTCAGTGACCCGCCGGGGAGCCGTCAACCCTGGTCCGTGACCCGACATGGAGCCGTCAACCCTGGTCCGTGACCCGACATGGAGCCGTCAACCCTGGTCCGTGACCCGACATGGAGCCGTCAGCCCTGGTCCGTGACCCGACATGGAGCCGTCAGCCCTGGTCCGTGACCCGACAAGGAGCCGTCAGCCCTGGTCCGTGACCCGACAAGGAGCCGTCAGCCCTGGTCCGTGACCCGACAGGGACTTGTCAGCCCCAGTCCGTGACCCGTCAGTTGCCTGCCAGCCCCGGTTCGTGACCCGTCAGTTGCCTGTCAGCCCCGGTTCGTGACCCGCCAGTTGCCTGCCAGCCCCGGTTCGTGACCCGCCAGTTGCCTGCCAGCCCCGGTTCGTGACCCGCCAGTTGTCTGTCAGCCCCGGTCCATGACCCGCCAGTTGCCTGCCAGCCCCGGTCCATGACCCGCCAGTTGCCTGCCAGCCCCGGTTCGTGACCCGCCAGTTGCCTGTCAGCCCCAGTCCGTGACCCGCCAGTTGCCTGCCAGCCCCGGTCCATGACCCGCCAGTTGCCTGCCAGCCCCGGTCCATGACCCGCCAGTTGCCTGCCAGCCCCGGTTCGTGACCCGCCAGGGGACTGTCAGCCCCAGTCCGTGACTGTTCCGATCCGCGTCGGCCGCGGTCTGTCGGTCACGCTGCGTTCTTACTGGCCAGCAGCGGGTTGCTGACAGCGATGGAGCGTCTCTGCGACGGCCCCGGCCGCTCCGGTCCCCTGGTGCAGCGGCTCGGCTCCTGCGGCACGGGCAGAGCGGTCACCTTTATGGCCAAGGCTCCGGCACAGTGTGGAGCGCCGGCGAACGGAGAGCCAAGACAAGGCGCTCGCATGCTAAATGCTGAATGCTGCTGAATGGGGATATATCATAACAAAGACCATTCATCCATCAAATCCTTATGTGATCTAAGATAATTCTGTTGGGCTTAGCACCACTCTGGAATGCGTGGCACATAAAAGAACCAGACGAGGCGTCCGTCGAGACGTTCAATGTTCAAAACTACGCTCGGAATTATCACGAAAACTTGCATCAACAATGGTCATGGACATAAGGAGGCTCACACATTTCACACGTTATCGTTTTAATAATGCAGCTTTACGTATCACATGTTTTTTGGTGCATGCTCAGGGCATAAGAAGCACGATGGCCCCACCTTAACACGCAGGTGCAGAAACTGCCGCTGCGGGGAGGGCTCGCCGGCCGCCGCCAGGTGGCGCCGCATCCGCACACGGCGCTCATTCAGCTGGCCGTCGGACGGAGCTTGGTCATTCTGGCGACAGATGGCACCATGGTCAGTACGGAAGTCGCAAGCAACAGATTACCCGAAGTGAAATACGGTTAAACGAACACAGCTGGAAGCAGACCGTTAAAGCATCGTCTGTAGTACCGGGCACACGCCACATGTGTGCTGTCCTCTTCTAGAAGCATGGTAAGATCGAAGCAGGTGCGCTCATCGCCTATAGCGAGCTGAGCAGCCCTCACCAGCGACGCATTTTCAAGCAAGGTCGGTGATAAGGGCCTGTTTTGAAGCTGCGCTTCGCCATATTCCACTTCCTAAACCCTATCGACTCACACCGTTGCGCAGTTCCGGTCCCCATGCACTCCGGGTACGTCTACGCCCGCTGCGGACGCACCAGGCTCCCGCCTCTCACCTCCCTCCCTCACTCCTCCCGTCCGCACTCACCCTGTCTTCAGCGAGGAGGTCAGCCAGGTCGAACTGCTCGGTGACGGGCTCGGAGAAGAGCTGGCGCGCGGCGTCCGAGTTGAACGCCTCCTCGATGTCGCCCAGGTCGTGACAGCTGAAATCCGAGAGCTGCTCCCCAGGCATCGGCTCCTCCGGCAGGGCGCACTGCTGCATGCGACCAGGCGAGGTCATGCAGGGGTCACGTGGCCGCCTCGCCCGCGCAGCACACATTCGCTGAGATATGCGACGGTATCCGTCCGGAGACGTGCGCTGATGCCGTCAGGCCCTTCCCAACGGCGCGTGTTGGGCGTCGGCGACGGCTCGGAGCGGAGACAGGACACAATAAGACGTGCAAATGGTCCCGAGGACTGACTCGGCAATGTGTTCGTAGTCAGCGGACATCGTCCGGTGGTACCAGAGGCGGTCTGTGACGGGCACGCCCAGCCGTCACCCGGAACCAACGCCCGTCTCGTGGTGGCTTCTCAAGAGGCAGCCTGACGCGCTACGGCTCTACCCTCCTGGGCAGGGTGGAACTGAAAACTACAGAGGTACTGGCTGCGTTTGCGTCGGGAATGCGAGATGCCCTTGTTCATTGTTACAGTCTTAGTGTAAAGATACCCGCAATCAGACTGACACCCTATGCGTCAGCCTGCAATGGTCTATAATTAGGATGCTACACCACTACACTGTTCAAAGGGCTTGCAACGCTATAGTTTCCCGTAGGAAGGCAAAAACCAACACCTGCGAGCGTGGGCTTAGGTAGGAAACCGGGAAATTATGGACTTCACGGCCGTCAGTTATACAGACACCAAGCATGTGCATTACCGCCGGTGCTTGTCAATGACCACTTGTGCTATGCCGGGGTGGTGATTTATTGCGCGCTGTTCGATTTTGATAAGTCATGGGTTGGCCGTCTTTTCTCCCAGACTCGATGTCTTCTCTTTGCATCATGGCTGTTGCACGAAAAAAAAAACGCAGCTTTCGGACTTCGCCGTAACCATACCATAGCCTGAACTTTGCTCCGTAAAAATACCCGACTCGGGTACCGGCCGGAGCAGCGCTCCGCCAGCCGACGGGCGCAATGCCGCCGACACCCCGGCCGGGGCCGTGCGGGGTGGCCGGCGTCATGGCTGGGGTCGGGCGGGGTAGCCGACGCCCCGGCCGGGTACGGGCGGGGTGGCCGGCGTCATGGCTGGGGTCGGGCGGGGTAGCCGACGCCCCGGCCGGGTTCGGGCGGGGTGGCCGGCGTCATGGCTGGGGTCGGGCGGGGTAGCCGGCACTCCGGCCGAGGTCCTGCGGGGTGGCCGGCGTCCCGGCCGGGTTCAGGCGGGGTGGGTGGCGCTCCGTCCGGGGTCGGGCAGGGTGGCCGGCGCCCCGGCCGAGGTCGTGCGGGGTGGTCGGCGTCCTGCCCGGGGTCGTGCCAGGTAGCCGACGCCCCGGCGGTGGTCGGGCGTGGTGGCCGCACTCACCATCGACAGCTGAGCCTGCTCGGCTCCGGGCTCCAGCTTCAGCCGCTCGGCCAGGCCGCCGCGGCCGGCGGGCGCGACGCGCGCCGGCGCCGGCGGCCGCCCGTCCGCCTGGTAGTCGAGCTGCGTCGTCAGCCACGACATCAGGTCGTCGTCAGAGTGCATCGGCATCATGCCCAGCGCGTTACTGCACACTGCGGAAGCGATGGGCCGTCAGCTGGAGTACGGGATCACGACTGGCGCTTCAAGGCGCGCGGCGCGGCGAACCGTTCGAGAATACGGACACAGAAATGACATCCGATGCGCATGCCTGACACCTTAGCGTGCAACGCGCAGCTACGGGAGAAAGCAACTGTGGGGCTTCCATCAGAGCAAGGGCGTACCCACATGGAAGCTCTCGGGGCATGTGCGCATCCCTCGCCCCTTACCGCTACCAAATTTATTATATGCACGTGGCTAAAGGTTGACAATTCGAAATTTCAGTGGGCCAACTTCCATGCAGCGGGCACGGTTCTAGGCAGGTAAACATAAGAGCGATAGCACGGGATGATGTTTTACGACACGCAAGAAACGTGCGTGCCTGCGGGGCGATGAACTCGGCTTGCTGTGGATTCTTGTTAGATTTGCACCCCGGGGTATAGAAAATAAAAATTATGTCCCGCACACCGCAACCTCATGAATGCCGTAGACCCATCATCAAAAACAGTAGACCTGTTCCATCATCAGTTAGAGCATGTGGAAATGATTAACCCCTTATTGCATAATGAAGCTGGAGACAAAGTCACATCAGAACGTGCATCGCAGGTAGCGTGTGTGGCGAGTTGCTACGTAAAGAAAAGACAGCGACAAATGGGCCACCGACCAGATCGGATGCTGGATACTTCGGTATGCAATGCGCAGACAGTTGCTGAGGTGTTTTCAGAGTACGGAAACACGGCATAGAAAGCGAGGTGTTTTCAGAAATGTACGCATGAGAGCAGCAAGGAGCAAAACACGCACTGGACCAGCCAATCGTCAGGCACTGTATCTGCACTGGCATGATGTGGCCGCGCGGCGACTACATGTGCCCGATCAGGTCGAAAACATACCTTTGAACATATTAGGTGACTTGAAAATAATCTGATCTGCAAGAGAAAAATGCATTACTGACAGGATGAAAAAGAAAGCAAGCATGCATGGAGTCGCTCATGAATGACAGGCCTGCTACATTCGGACAGAATGGCGCCCCGATGCACCGCGCTTAGAGACAGAATAGAGCGTTTCAGACGCCAGGGGTTGGTACGGCGCTGCTCTGTTTCTAGCGTTGATTACGGGCGGAGCCGCAGCTCGAACCAATCCCACTGGGACGATGAGAACATGCTGAGCGGCCCGACTCGCACCGTCCCGACCGCACACTCCCCAGAAACTGGCATCTTTGCGACTTTTTTGTCGCGGCATCATGCGATTTGCAGGAACACGACCAACGTTTTTTTCTGCAATTTAGCGATGTGGTTAAAAGATAGTCTTTCCTTTTCCAATGGCACGGGAAATGTTAATGTGCCTTCCACGAAAAAAGCCGCCCAACACGGACTGAAGCCCAGGTCCCAAAACTTTATCACCTGTCATACTACCCGCATATGACCAACATATTTTGATGTAAGGAACAGGTGACCGCAAGGCAAAAATAATAAAAATGTGCAGCCGGTCAAGCAAGAGCAAAAATGGTGAAGAGGAGTCTAAAAGGATTGTCGTGAAACGTCTGCAACAAAGACGGAGAAAGGTATAAAAACCGGGCAGTACAAGCAAACGCACAGTCTAAAAATCAAACAGCGATCTCATAACCATCGACCCATAACTGACACGCTCATCAAAAAGTAAGGCACACAGCCCAAACAGAGAGAGAGAGTGGTCCAGCCATCTACCCACGTGTCTGGTCCAGATCACGTGGTTCATATCCGTCCAAAACTTCCGCATTGTTCGCGCTACTCTGGTTCCAGTCGCCGAAGACATCAGCCATTACGAATTCATCGATTTCGTTGATTAAAATTGCCATGCCTGGTCAAACCAATACTCCGCCAATTTGTCAGCAAAATCATTCGTACATCGGCCCACGAACATCGCGTCACTGAGCCTAAAGCTGCCAACTTCACATGAAAGACGGACATTACAAGGCATTGGTCAGACCGCTTTGTTTGGGCTCGCAAAAGCATCTGCCTGCTTCCGCTTCGGTTGTGGCACCATCCGCACCATGATGATTGTGTCTGTTGTGGCACCATCCGCACCATGATGATTGTGTCTGTTGCGTCTTTTGCCATCTCGCTCGCCCACGCCAAACTGGGGTTCTGCATTGACAGATGACTCCATGCCTTTTGCGTTCCTGGCAGCCGTGATCTGCAGCGTTATGTGCTGGATGCGTCATGGCATGGCTCAGTTCAAATTCAATAGTTGAATGCAAACTTTGACTTCGATTTCTCTTTTTACCGTACCCGACGCTTGCAAATGTAAAAAGTGTACTTTCAAATAATGCGTGCTGAGCCTGCTCTTGTTTCTCGAATGCGTGATGTAATCTGCAGCAGCAACAAGATGGTTTTTCGCACTGGAAATCGGAATTTTGGGCACTACACCAGTGTTTATGGCATGTAAACACGTTAAAATACCATCACCTTATCTAAAATGTCCTCCCTTGGTGATACGCAAGGTTATTCAGATAAACTTCATGTTGCAGAAGAACTAGATGTTTTTGTTGTTAGACGCTCAGATGATTACATTGATATCACTTCGGCATGTTTTCTTTACAGATCCAAAGCTCTATGACTGCAGCAGCATGCGTTTACGACCATCTGCAATGTGTATACATAAAGATATATAAGCCAATGCTGTTATCCTTACCTCTCGAAGAATGCCCAAGAGAAGAGGGGGATAGATGTCTTGACCTTTCGGCTACATGCCTTTATCGCAACGAAATTCAATGGTGAATTCAAAATTGCCTTCCGATCCTTCTCGATTTTGAGGTTGTGTTTTTTAACTGCCAGCCTTGCTTTTCACTAGTCACTGACCTCTAAAATTCAGTAAGTAAAAATTTTACTGACTTGGAAAGGTTTTTACATGTCAGTGACTTGGAAAAATTGTCGCTTACTGTTAAAAAAAAACGGAAAAATCGAGTGGGACCGGCAGGCAATTTTGTTTTATTAGCTTCCAACATTCGTTTCGCTAAAGGAGTATAGCCGAAATATCAATGCATCTATCTCTCCTTGCTCCTGGTTTTTCTATGAACAATATGGCTAACAGTACTGTCTCATCTATTGGCAAAATGTTTCCAACAAATCCACTTACTCACTTATGTAGCCTATACATTAATAGTTCAGGGAAAGTAAGATACTCTTCACTCCTCTAGCCCTCTGGTCAAACATTCGAACATTCGATACTAATGTGCTCACTGCTAGGCAAATCACGCTTTCTTGGTACCCACCACCCTGCTCTGGATATTCACATTCTGACTGGTCGATCGCAGACTGGCACCAACGTCGGACTTTGAGACTTAACTCCAAACCAGAGCAATTATCTCTGCGACTAAGCATGACTGCACGGTCCCTTATCAACGACAGTCAGCTGAATTGACGGACAGAGAAGTTCCCCGTAGAGAGACGCTCATCCTCAGAGGCTTTATTGCCCGGCCTGGAGGCCAGGACGGATCCAACAAAGCTTGGAAGCTTTGAAGCTTGAAGAAGCACTTCAAGGAACGCGGGGTGTCATCCATCAGCAGCAGCAGCTTCTCATGCATCAAACGCAATCGGCCCCACGCATGTCCGTTAACCTTGAAACGGCAGAAGGCAGATGAATTTCAAACCCGTCTACCGCGCGCTGTATTTCACGCGAATATCATACATCATGCATGCTCGTGACGCACATAGACATTGCCCTCCGGGCAAAGGTCGTTCAGTCAAGTGCTGGTATTGAACTACAAGCGGTGCTGCCACTCACCTCAGCAAACATGAATTGGACAGGCTGCTCCTGCTCATCTTGATATCTGTAAAGGAAATGGTGCGAGTGAGACCCGTACAGTGCGCTATTAGCGATTGCACAAAGGAGCACTATTCATCTCGATTTTACAGTCTGCTAGCCCCACCGAATCACCAGGCTGTCATTCGGGGAATCGCACTGAATGAATAAAATGCGTGCAAATATCGCAGGCAAGTTGGAGAAAGAATGGATGAGCAAAAAGGGAATGCATACAAAAAGTGGGATTTTATTCAGAACTAGTGTGCGAGAGGACATCCTTCCTGCGCACTAAGCGCGCCACAGCCGCAAATATCTCTTCAGCGACAAAATAATGAATAACTCAGATATTAGCACAAACATGAACAAACAACATGACGACATCATTAAGGAGGCGGTGCAGGGCTTGGGCTCACTTGTTTCACTTGAGCTTTTATTTTTCGAATCTGGCGGCCCATGTAGATTCGACGCTGTTCACCTGCTGCTACTGATTTCATTGATCTAAAAAGCTCTCGCAATCCGTCAAAACGCGAGGTTCAAAACTAAGCTCACGGCGTTCGTGAGAAATTCCTGATATTTATCTCCACACGGTTATCAGGAGTGGAAGGCGCCGAGACCAGAGCCTAGTTATTCCCTAATCATTCCCAGCCTGATTTCGTCCCCGATCAACAAGAGCTCGTTTTTCTCTGTTTTTTCCAACCGAGCCCGCACTTGAGGTGATGCTTGCGTTCTCTAATAGTTCCAGGCCTAAACCCGACGCTCAATGTTGGTGTGACATCAGTAAAGGTGACGGGTGAGAAGCAGACCCAAATGCCGAGGAGTGTATGAGGGCTTTGAAACAGCACAACCGCTTAACACGGATAGACACGTAAGGAATGGCAACGAGTGTTATAACTAACCTTCAGATAGCGTAGCATGCGAGAGCTGTTCAGTTGGCCCGGTAAGCTACCATTACATGCAACATAAGAGGCAGTTCTAATGACCTCTTAGTCCTCGTTTGAACGATCTCTCTCTCTCTTCCTCACTCTCTGCTCTCTCTCCTCTCTCCTCTCTCTCTACTCTTCTCTCTCTCTCTCTCTCTCTCTCTCTCTCTCTCTCTCTCTCTCTCTCTCTCTCTCTCTCTCTCTCTCTCTCTCTCTCTCTCTCTCTCTCT